TGCGGGAGGAGTCGCCGCCCCGAGCTCCTCCCGGCCTGGCCCGCGTCCTCCTCCCGTCTCCGGGTGGCGAAAGGACGATCAGCGCCCTGGACTGGGTGTGTGTGACCCCAGACCGTCGCTTCTGTTCTTGAGCAGGTCCTTCCTCTCGGAGGCTCAGTTTCCCCTTTGTTAAGTCCCCATAGCACCGTCACCTCCCAGGCTTGGTAGCCTCGCCCCGAGCACATGGCCCACGTTCAATTTAAGGGTGTTATTGTAATTCCTTTTCTACTGCCTGATCCGAAGAGGCCATTTGTAAGACCATTAATCCTGAGTATTCTTTAAAACAAAAGGCTTTGTGTGTTCCCAGGTCGATAGAAGCTTCCTTTTTCTGAGGATAAGCTCCAGGGTCCACCTAGTGATTTTGGAAAAAGTGGTTTATAAAAATATAAAGGAAAAGATGGCAGAGGGTTCACCTGTAACTTTAACAGCTGAATCTAGAGCCTGATCAAACTGGAGAGAAGAGTGATTACCAAGAGTTTTCTCTACCCTACCCCCCACATAACTTTTTGTCACCAAGAATCCGGTCTAGGGTGCATGCAGCCTTGGGGTATCGTTCAGCTTTGTTTTTTTCTCTTTTGCTGCCTTTCCCCGGAAACTTTCACCGTGGGTAATGTGTAACGTGGCTATGGCCGAGTCGTTAGTGCAGGGATTGTCCAACCCCTGGAGTCAAGCCAGTCTCCAGCAGCTTATATGAGGCTGGTCTAGCAGAGGCAACAGGGCAGGACGTCTCCTGAAAAGAAAAAGAACCGGTACGTAGCATTAGTACATACATAGCTAACCTTTTTCACACAAGTTCTCATTTGGTTCCACAAGGGTGCTGACGCTAGGTGGAATCATCCTCTCTGTGGCGATGAGGAAACCAGTTCTGCAGGTTTACATAGCTCACCTCACATCCCACAGCAAAGATGTGGTAGCGCTGTGCCCTGCTGGTGGAGTGGAGACTGTACTCAGTAGGTCACTGGCAAGAGAAAGGAAGCACCTGGTCACACCTTTAGGATCTGAGATTCTCAGGACTTTCCAGAGGGTATGAATGAATGCATCGCACTCAGCATCTTCCCTTCCATGTTTTCTCTTGTCTACTCCTGCCATTTATATCAGGACAGCTGCATCCATGACAGGCGAAGGACACCATTTAAGGTAGAAGCCCTAAAAGACCAGAGAGGCAGCCCTCCCCCACTTGTCATGGATGGGTTAATGGAAGACTCCCTGTATCACACTTGGGCCTTTTTTAAAGCACCGTCTGGCAGGAGTCACTTCTACACCTGCTGCTTCTATAGAGCATTGCTCATTTGCCAATCAGCAGTGTGAATGACAGAGATGTGGTACCTGCACTCCTCAGGGCCACTGTGTTCTCTGCACCACGTTGTAAGAATAGCAGCCCATACACACTGCTGAGTTACTTGGAAGCACAAAAAGGCAACAGAGGAAGACCCCCCACATTCTAATCTTGAGCTTGGCCAGAGTGTGGAATAGAAAAACTGAAGAGGCTGGGGATGTAGCTCAGTGGTGCTGCCGCCTGCCTCGCAAGCATAAGGACCAGAGTTTAATCCTAGGTACCAAACAAACAAACAAAAAAAACCCTCCCAATATATGGCAAATAAATAAATGAAGGCCTAGGTGTTTCAGAATATACTAACCGTTGTCTACTGTTGGCTTTATTGCAGTCACATGCAGAAGAATTACATTTTTGGCACAAGACAGAAAGTGCTACATTCTAGGTGAGAGACACATGCACGGGGTTCTCTGGATTCAGAGGAAGGTGAGATTTCTGTGGGAGGTTAAGAGATGGTGCCACAGAAGGGGAGCAGGACTTGCAGAATGGATGTCATGTCAGTAGCTGGAGAATCTGGGATGGAGAGCTACCCCCCCTGCCACTGTGGTGAAGTTCACTTCTGGAGCTGATAGGAAATATATGGTCATCTGATCCCTTAGTCGTTACACCAATGGGAAGACATGGCTGTAGTTAGAGAGGGAAGTGGGTGGCCTCAGCGAGAAAGAAGGAAGAAGAACTGAACATAACATTTTGTTAGCTGCCGACAGCTGCAGTATGGAGAAATTTCAAAGTAGGAGGGAGGCAGGAGGACATGCTAAGATGTTGTTCCTCTTACGTTTAGGCAGGAAGTAAGATTTATTGGTGGGCAGCAGTAAGGAAGGGACCATAATGGAAGCCCTGGTGAGTGCCCGGCCCATAGTTTGTCCCGAGGGTCATGGTTAGGGATGTGTTTGACCCTGCAGTCGTAGCTGTTTGGGATAAGTAGCTTGTCAGCCATCATATCTTCAAATTCTTTAGCATGGTAGTCCCACTTCTTTGAGATGTGGAACTTCTGGTGAACAGGGAGCTTTCTTTGACTTCCTGCCTGCCTGCTCCTGTCTTCTTTCCTGCCCCTCTCCCTTTCTTCTGTTGGGGATCAAGCCCAGGGCATCATGCATGCTAGGCAAGCACTGTGAGCTCCCCCTCCAGCCCCATACTGGAAACTTGAATGTGGCCCTGCCCAGGGCTGCCCTCAGTCACGTGCTCCTTGTTCTACAGTTTGTGCAAATGGATGTGATGATTTGGACAATCAATAAATAAGTAAAGGGGCCAGGGATTTGGCTCAGTGGTGCCACTGCCTGCCTCACAAGTACAAGGACCCGAGTTCAATTCCTGGTACCAAAAAAAAATAAAATAAAATTTGTGCAAATGAATATAAAGGTAAAAGGAACACAGTCAATCATTTTCTGGGAATTGGGAGGAGCTGACCATGTTGTGTCACAGGAAATAAATTTGTGACTATGAACCCATTGCCTGGGGAAAAACATGCCAAGATCTTTGAAGGGAGCCTATTCTCTGAAAGCCAGAAAAGCCCAGTACAGTAATAAGGGAAAATGAAATTTTACCCTAAATACAAACACTATAGTTCTTAAAAAAACACACACACGCACACACAAATCTGTGTTGACCTGGTGGGCTGTCTGTTCTGCCAGGGCTTGGGGCTGGGAGCAGGGAGGGGAGGCAGTCAGGCCTTGATACAGATGTGGCTGAACAGTGGACGGAAACCACAGGCATCTCCTTGGGAAGACTCCCTGCTCTCAGATGCAGCGTGATTCTGAGGGAGGAGACACCTGCCCACCTTGCTGTCTGTGGCACTCACTTCGAAACTGAGTTTGAGAACTATAAAGTTCATCATGCCAGAGATGAAATTGGAACACACACCTAAATATCCTATTTTGAAAATGTTTTGATGGTTTTTGAGTGTCATGGGACAGAATGTAGTGGGATAGAAGTCAAAGTTTGTGGCTGAGAAGGGAAGACCAAATGTGGGACAGTATGAACACCAGGGCCAACAGACAGTACCTGTTGGGGTGAGCTGAGAGATGTACTACAGTTCCTCAAGAATCTGCAATGAACTGCAGGACCTTCGGCACAGTGGGCCCCTCTATTCTGTTCAAAACTGAGGAAAAGGGGATTGAGGGTGGGAATATATAACCAGAAATGAGGACTGTGCACTCCCCAAATCACCAGCCCCCCTCCAGTCTCCCCACTGTTACTATAAGATGAGGAGAAATAGGCTGAGTGTGGTGGTGCATGCCTGTAATCCCAGCACTTGGGAGGCTGAGGCAGGAGGATTGATGTGAGTTGAAGACCAACCTGAACTACATAACAAGACCCTGTCTCCCTCCCCTACAAAAAAAAAAAAAATAGTTGAGAAATGGAAATGGCCACCTAACAGAAACAGAGCTGGGAAAATCATCTCTTGGCTGGTTCTGCTGATCTCCATTTCTGCCCTTGTTAAAGTCTATCACTTTGGGTTTCTAGCTTCCTCTTCTTCACAAGAAGGACTTGAACTGAACTTTGGCTGGAGCTTTTTTTTTCATACTGAGTATTGAATCCAGTGCCTTCACACTGAGCCACATCCCCAACCCTTTTGAAATTTTTTTATTTTGAGACAGAGTCTCATTAAATTACTAAGTTGCCCAGGCTAGGCTTGAATTTGTGACCCTGATGCCTCAGACTCCCAGTTTTGCAATTATAGGCTTTTGCCACTATACCTACCTTCAGACACTGTATAAGGAGAGAAAGATGGGCCCTTCCCTTAGGACCTGGTCTGTTGTGTCGGAGACTGGATACTTACCAGTTGTGAGTGCCATTATTTTCTGCACAGCGTTCCCCTTTGCTTCCTCTACACAGAAGAGACCATTGGAATAAGCACAAGATCAGTGGGATCTGAGAAGTGGCCACTCTGCCGGGCACAGTAATGTACAATGGAGACCAATAGCTTTTATAGTCTGAGAAAGCAGAGAACACCTGTACTTGTGAAGAATCAGCAGTTTTTGAGGACTTTGTGCATGTTTTCTGGCCCAGGAGAAACCATAAATATCCATGGTCTTTGACCTAAAATGGTAGCCACCAGTCTTAAACACCAAGCTGACCCTATGTCTTCCTACTTCTTCCCTCTCCTACTGACACAAGCCTAGTGCAGGCATCTTCTTTTCTGTCCTGGATTCCTGCCTTCATTTATTCTCCAAGTCTTCCCCTGAGATGCCTGCTTACTGTGCAAACCTGGGCAGGCATCTCCTCTGCTTAAAACCCATCAGTATCTCCCAGTCTTCAGGTGTTTATTGACAACTAATTGTATCCACACACCCTCAAACGAGCATCAGACCCAGCTCCTTGGTTCGGCACTTGCCTACCATGTGTGAGACCGTGGGTTCAATCCCCAGTACCACACACACAAAAAGAGTCTGTACCTCAGTGCCCTCTCTCACCCCTTAATCCCCATCCACACTGAATCATGTACAGTTCTCACTGGGCCATGTTTCCCCTCTTTTCTGTACCTAAGCACATGTTGGTCCCCCTTATCCATTCTTTCGGTTTCCCACTTACCTGGTTAATTCGTACTTACCTTGCGGTCTTCAGTCTCTGATTACTTTTCCCCAGCTCTTTGAGTGCCATCTTCCTTGAAGTAAGGCGGGTTATAAAATAATAGCAGTAGCACTCTGTGTATATGTACTCATTATAGTGCTTTACCATAACTGTCAGTTTATTTGCCTCTCTGTCATTAAGCTTTTTTCTTTTTGAGACAAGGTCTTCATAGGTAGGTCAGGCTGCCCTTGAACTCAAGGCAATCCTCCTGCCTCAGCCTCCCAAGTGCTAGGATGAGAGGTGTGTGCTACCATGCCTTCTTTAGATTGTGAACTTACTGAAAACAGGGAACTCTTATTCACCTTTGCACTTCCAGCACCTGCCATAGTGCTTGATACCTCAGAGGTGTTTATGAATATTTGTTGAATGACTGAATGTGTGGCGGCCCAGCCGTCACAACACGAACATTCCTGAGTTGGGGAGTGAGGATTGAGAAAGGAAGAACACTCAAGCCTGAGTGGAGACCAAGAGAAGTCTGATTTATTTCACAGAAACAGTTCCTTTTACAGGCTCACATCACCAGGAAGCACCAAGCAACTATTTGTATCTTTTATGCAAAAACCCGGATTTTCTGACTCTACAAAGAACATCAAATCTGTGGCTGTCTCTTTGAGTTTCTCCCATTGCGGGGTCAAAAAACAATTTTAACAAGCAGAGTCCTAGAAACCTAAGAAATGTTACATAGATTGTATCAATGCCTTGAGTGTAGAGGTGAAGAAGTTTCCTTTTAAATGTCAAACGCCTGGAGGGCCATGGCCAGGCTCCCACATGAATGAATAAATGAATGAATGGAACCTGGCGTGGTGGCACACCCTTGTAATCCCAGCACTTGGAAGGCTGAAGCAGGAGGATTGCCTTACGTTTGAGGCCAGCCTGGGCTACATTGTGAATTCAGGTCAGCCTGAACTCCAAAGCAAGACTCTGTTTCAAAACAAACAAACCACCTAGCCTATACCCTGCTTTGAATGGATTCTCCTTCACACTCCATCCTGGAAAACATCTTATCCTGTTCAGTGTATAGCCTTACACTGTTCAGTGCCAGGAAGTGAGGCGTGCAGGGTCCAAAAGCATTGGAGAATTAACAAGTAATCTTCAAAGTCACAATCAGGAGAGTCTGCTGTTTATACAGTAATGCTTGTACCCTAAGTTTGTCACATCCTTATGACAAAGTAGGTCCCAAGGCTGCTGCATGGTATCTCTTTATGGAGCCTGCCCCAGGCCAGATTCCTTGAACAGCTTCATGTCCTCACATTCCCAGGTTGCTCTTCACCTGAAAGAAAAACTATTTGTCATTAATTGCAACACATGGTTTTCATACTCACTCTTACAAGTGGCTGTATTATATTTTGTAAGCTGACAGATTTCTGAGATTCTCAAGGACGTGAATTTCCTATCTGTCAGTTAGCTTTCATTTTTCAGTGGCAGTCCTGTGTCTCAAACCAGGATGTCCTGACAGGAAACCTGAGGGACATATTGCTCCTTCTTCTTACTGGCATGTTTTACACAGATGTGTGGGAGCCACTGCTGTGTGGTGGCTTCTTGCTGCTACTTACAGTCTGTAGTGGTTGTTATCCTCTGTCTCATTGAGGTTTTCCTTTGAGAATAAGGCAGTAAAGAATGAATCCCAAGGTATCCTTCCTGGTGACGTTGGACATGTGTAATCTGGAGTGAGTGCGCTGTCTCCTGGGCATTCTGGGTTCCTAGCAAGTTTAATAGCACTCCAGGGAAGAAAGCATTCTGGCCCAGTGACCTCAGGGGAGATACATGGTATGATTCTAAATGCCTGAATCCCCACCATGCTTAGTGTCTATGAGAATGACTTGCTTTTGATTCACATTTGACTTGAGCAAAACCTTTCATTGAGCACACCAAGCAGACATCTCAAATATCCTGCACAGTGACCCAACAGTTTTAGCAAATATAAGATGAGAACTATGACACTGCTATGGCTAAATTAACACTCTGAGAAGTTAGTGAATTTCATGTGGATTGCATTACCCAGACTTTGAATTTCAGCTGTGAACTTTGCAATAGAAAAGCTATTCCCCACCCCAGCCCTTAAAAAGAAAGGGAGAGAGGAGGCTGGGGATTTAGCTCAGGGGTTCCACTGCCTGCCTCGTAAAGCATAAGGTCCTGAGTTCAATCCCAGTACAAAAAAACAATTGAATTCCATATAAATTGTTTGCAGGGGGGGGGATTTAGCTATTTGGTGCTGCTGCCTGCCTCAAAAGCGCAAGGTCCTGAATTCCATCCCAG